GTACGTTCATTTCTTCAATTATTGTTTAAACATCGATAATAGGTATTAATTGTTAAAATGTTTTCTTGATTCTGTATCAGATGTTCTTCTCGTTTCATTTATTTTAAAAAGAAGCAAGTAACACTAGAATGTTGGAAATATGTATGAGCTTATAAAAATGTCACATAATCCGTTTGACATCTTTCATGGTATATTTTCTATTCTTTTTTATGCGCCTAATAATCTTTTTGCCGAAGATAAAACGTGAAAAAAATGTGAATATAAAAATAACAAGTAAAAAGGCAATTTAATTTTACAGAGTAAGTCACAAAAAATAATATTCCAATGTTGTTTGTATTTGTATTGAAAAACTTTAATAATTCTCAACATTTTAACTTTAACTTTTATATTTCTCGAAAGATTGCATTATAATGGTGGGAATATGATGTCTTTGTTATCTACTTTTAAACTTGGTTATTCAGTTAACAAACTGTTCGAACCGTTCTGTCAATTATTTTTGACAAAAACTTAATTATTCTTTCTATTTTATTTTTTTTTGATACAATCAACCGGTATAAAAGTCCGGTTTCTCGTGACTCACCTTGTATATAAAATAATTGCTTTTACACATAATATTAAGATATCAGAGATAAACACGTATCGTTAATTCACATTATATCTTTTTTTTTCATTTTAACATTATATCATTTTTTTTCATTATAGTATAATTAAATAACGATGTAACTTTATAGTTTTTATTGCTAAGAGAATTTCTATTCATTTGAATTTAGTATAATAAAGTATAATAAAATAAAAATTATAGTATAATAAAATAACGATATGATTCTATAGTTTTAAATAAAATAAAAATTATGGTATAATAAAGTAACGATTCTATAGTTTTGTGATTCTATAGTTTTAAATAAAATAAAAATTATAGTATAATAAAATAACAATGTGATTTTATAGTTTTCATTGCTAAAAGAATTTCTACTCATTTGAATTTAGTATAATAAGGTATAATAAAATAAAAATTATAGTATAATAAAATAACAATGTGATTTTATAGTTTTCATTGCTAAAAGAATTTCTATTCATTTGAATTCAGGGTGTAACGTATCCTTGTGTACATGCAATATGGGCACAATGGGCACCTCCATTGGAAAGATCGAAATTAGCAACACTTGCATTTTCTGGAAGTTTCTTTGGAACTGTATTTGCGATGCCAGTTGCTGGTTTAATGGCCGAATACCTTGGTTGGTCCTCCGTTTTTTATGTTTTTGGAGCAGCTGGTGTTATTTGGTTCTTTTACTGGTGGATAGTCGTGAAGGATAAACCAGAGGATGATACATCTATTTCCAAAGCTGAACTCGAATATATTAAAACTAGCCTTGGAAATTCCAACAGAGAAAAAGTAAGTTTGTAATAAAAAAAAAAAAATAATGTAGTAATTATTTACTTTAGGGTACTTTTTATTTGCAAGAACAATTTTTTCCTTTATTTACGTGTGATAGATATATATGTACATGAAGAAAAGTTACCTAGAACAATGACCTTGATAATATATTTCAAGGTCATTGAGGATGAAGAATAATTTCTAAAATAAATAATTGTCAATAATATAATAGTTCAAAAAATTGTTTTTTTATTAATTTACTTCTAGAAATATATATGTACTTATTTTTAACCGGCTTTCAAATATTATTGTTAATAATTTTCTTTATTTCATTTAAGAACTTTTTGCAAATTAAGTTTATTTCATTTAAGTATTTCATTTAAGAACTTTAAGCAAATTTTATTATTCAACTTTTATTTCTTGTTATAATTAATATAATGTTACATTTTCACCTTTTGATTATTTTATTTCATATAGAAAATTACACATCCATGGAAAGCTATGCTTACCTCTCCACCAGTGTGGGCAATTGTTGCAGCTCATTTTAGTGAAAATTGGGGATTTTATACAATGCTTACTCAGTTACCAACATTTATGAGTGGTTAATTCAGTTAAACATTTATTTAATGAACATATAATAAATTATATATATTATACTTAAGTAATCCATTTTTAGATGTACTCGACTTCAAATTGGATAAGACTGGATATTTATCTGCATTACCATATCTAGTTATGACTCTCGTTGTTCAATTTTCTGGACATTTAGCAGATTATTTAAGAAGAAAGAAAATTTTAACGACTACGCAGGTCTGTCATTAAATATTTATAAATTGCCTTTATTCTAAATACACTTTTCTTCTTACAAATTTTGTAGATCCTCATAAAATATTTTCAAATTTAATAAATAAAATAACATTCTATTTATATTTTAGTTCTATTTATATTTTAGTAAATTTAGTACATTACTTTCAAGTGCTATTTAAAATTATACATAACGTATAAGACAAGTATAAGACGCAAAAATTTTACAACCATAATACTTATTTTGTTGCAGGTGCGTAAATTATTTAATTGCGGAGCTTTTATATGTCAAGCGATATTCATGACGTGTACAGGTTTCATCTTGACACCGACAGGGGTAGTTATTTGTATAACTCTAGCAGTTGGCCTTGGTGGCTTTGCTTGGTCTGGTTTTGGGTAATTTTTTTTCGAATTTCAAATATAAAAATACAAAAGAGTGAAAAGAAAACATAAATCCTGAACTAAAAGATATTATAATTTAATTATTTTAAAAATTAAATAATTTTTTTATATTAATATTAAATGTACATACTTATATGTATATAATTTCAAAATATAAAATTTATAAATTTTTCTTTATTAACAAATTGATGAACTAGATATATATATATATATATATATATATATATATATATGTATAATGTCTTCAACTAATTTGCCAAGAAAATTACACATTATCATTATAAAGATTAAACATATCTTTTTTAAATTTATTAATTATACATTTAACTTTATAAATATATTATATTATATAAATATTTTTTATATAGAGTAAATCATTTGGACATTGCTCCTAAGCATGCAAGTGTGCTTATGGGAATAGGGAATACTGTGGCTACTTTACCTGGAGTTGTAAGTCCTCTTATTACTGGATATATTGTCCAGAACAAAGTGAGTTTAAGTTATGACATACATATTTTCAATGAGATGTAATTATAGTATTGATATTTAAAAATTTTATAACATTACGTTAAATTATATTTAACTGCAACTTTAAATATTAATTAATAATTAATAATTAATGAATATTTAAAAATTAGATTTAATGAAATTGAAATATATTTTGTAGAGTGCCGCAGAATGGAGGATAGTTTTCATTATTGCTGGTGCAGTTTATTTGATTGGAGCTATAATATATGGTTTATATGCATCTGGTGAAAAACAAAGTTGGGCTGAAGAAAGTAATGAGGAATCAAAAACATCTTATGACAATCCAGCAATGGAAATAGATAATTTATAATATGAAACAATTTACTAACAATTACATAGTTATAATATATAGTATATTAATGTTTAATTTAAATTTAAAGTAGTTGTGACTATTTTTATTAAATATATGTTAATATATGAATATATCAGTTTTTATTCACTTTTTGGCTTAAAATAATGCTTGATAAATGAAAACAATTTCACATAATATTTTTTACATATATATTATTTAAAATAACAGTATTTATACCAACTATAATACATAAGAATCCATTTTTTAAATATTTTTTTCCATTAGAACAATTTCTTGTTATATATTTTTTTCATAAACATCATGTATTGAAAAAAATAAAACAATGGTACAGTCTAAAAATTATATTTATCAGTGTTTCTTTTCAAAATATTTCATTAGTTCAAACATTTAAAATGATTTATAGACTTTACAAATTTTTTTTTATTATTAACAATATTTATTATTATTAATTGATTGGTTATTATGAATTGATTTTCTACATGAAAAATACTTTTAATACCAATAAAAATATAAATGTGTATTTAAGTAATGTATTTTTATATTTGTAATATTTAAATAAAAAGGTTGAATCAAAATAATTAAATAATTTGGAAATTTAATGTGTACAAGTTATTATATATAAATTTAAAAAAAAAATAGATTGTAGTTAACAAAATAGTAGATTGTTAAAAAAATAACCGAACTTAAGGAAGTAATAAATAACTATTAACAATGAATATTAATATTTAAAGAAAGAATGTAAAATAAAGAATATGTTACATATAATCGAAATAATATAGAATTATAATTTACAATAGTTACATAGAAACAGATAAAAGCTAAGAATTGTAAAATATCTTTCTCAATTACTTTAAATAATAAACTTTTAATAAAAAACATTTTTTTAATACATATTATTTATTTCTCATTAAAAAAGACAAAAATGATCGATAAAAAAAGTACTTAAAAAAAAGTTATGATAATAAGAGAAACTTATAAGTTATGTAGTTATGTAGTTAATTTTATATGGAAGAAATTATAACACGTAAGAATGTTTATAATCAGTTGGCAATTAGTAGACCAATGATCTTACGGAAGTAGTTGAAAATAAACAAACCTCCGATACAACTAAGGAACAAAATATTTTCATGTGGCATTAATCTTATTTTTTCATTGTACAAAGTTGAATGAATTAACAAATAAAAAAAAATTTGCTCAAATTTATAGGGTAGTCTTGTATTGTTAAGAGGTGAGCGAAAAAAAATATACATTTTTTTTAATTATTATAAAATATATGTATGTTTGATAGCTTGGATGTATAGATAACCTATTTAATAACAATTTTTAACAGTTTATAAGCAAAATTTTTTATAAATATGTTTATATATCATATGTTTTTTATATTATAAAATAGTAATCATTAATAACGTTATGTATGATATTAAAATTATATAACTAAATCATCATATAGGTTATGTGCAAATATTGTATGTTAATTTTTAATGAAAATTACTTTACGTACCTTGCTATTTAAATTATTTTAGCATTATATTTACATAAAATATTAAAAGAAAATATGATTTTTTTCTACAAATAGTTTGCATTAATTGATGATAATCTATAACATAGTAATAGAGTCGTTATACTCATATAAATTTTA